ATGGGGCCCGGTGCAAGAGGTGGAGGTGAGCGGCAGGGGGGGGGGGGGGGTGAGAAAGCAGCCCCTCCCTGCCCCATGCTTGGCACCCCGCACTGCAGCCACTTGCAGCCTGCCTATGCCTGCTCTGGACAGCCCCACACGAGCTGCAAGCACCTGCAGCATGGGGTGCCAGCCATGAGGTGGGCAAGGAACCGCTTTCTCCGTGCAGGGTAGGAGCCCAGGGTAAAGCTGAGTGTGGGGGGGAAGCAGCCCCTCCCCTGCCCCATGCCTGGCGCCCTGCATTGCAGGCACTTGTAGCCCGCATGGGACTGTCCGGAGCGGGCGCAGGCAGCCCTGCGCGGGCTGCAAGCAGCTGCAGCGCAGGGCACCAGGTGTGAGCGTGGAGGGGCCGCTTTCCCCCCTCCCCCCACACTCCTTCCTTGCCTGGGGTCCCCGCCACTTACCTGAGCTTCCTACACCGAGGCAGCCATGTGCTCCCAGCCCAGTAACCCCAGCTGGGGGTTCTGGCTGGGGGGCGAGGCCTGTTGCTGGAGCCCACCGGGTTTCCACTGGGTCCTACTGCCCTTGGTTCCTGTCATTTTTAACAGGAACCAAGGGCAGAGAAATATTAATTTTCCAAATTTTTTTAAGGGCCCCGTGGGCCGGATAGAATGGCCTCATGGGCTGGATCCGGCCCATAGGCCGCATTTTGCCCACCCCTGAGCTAGGGACTTAGTTCTATACTGTTTAAGATCAAAGCAAAACCAAATACAACTTTATTGGAATGTGAACTAATTTGCTACATTCATCTCTCTCATGCTACAAAATATACATACATCTCTTATTGAGATTCATAAAATAAAATCTAACTTTCTTGAGCATCTTGACAGTGCACCCAACATTTCACTGTTAGTCATATCCAAATCTGAATTAATATTCACCTGAGTTGATATTGCCACACCTGAGTTAATGTTTTAAATTAGAACTAAAAATAATCTTTAGGGTCGTGAAGTAGAAGAGAGATGCTACCAGGAATGGTTAACAGACAAGAGCTTTGCAAAAGAAAGGATAGCTTGATTAATGGACCATCAAGACAGTTAAAAAAGAAAGTCATTAACACCTGCGAAGTAAAGAGAAATTACCAGGAATCAAGTAGATTACAGTGAGCCATGAAGTCAATGGCTCCCTCAGCACTGCCCGAATAGAAATGCTATTGCTCCTCCCAGGCAGTTGGTTTTAAAATTTGGATAGAGTAGGAATCAAAGGAGCGTGCAGTTGCACCACTGCACTCTTCCCCCCTCTCCCCACCTTGGATCCACCTCTAATGGTAAATATCTGGTGTCTTTGAATTCTGGTAAAGCAAAAAAATGAAAGACAACCCTTGGCTAATTTTAGTGCATTTGTTAGACCACTTGAAGTTGACAGTTAATGTAAAATAGGTGTTTTTGTATCTTCTGCTTGGAAATGTCTCCTTTGTGTCTTTTGAAAGTAATGTAAATCAATTTGAGACCTTTACTTTGGCTACTTTGCTTCGCAAGTTCTGATTCTTAGGCTATCAATTATATATCAGTAATGCCTATGCCATTAACTCTGTGAATTTTAAGAAAATAATGAAACGTAGAGGTATGTAAATGCAGGACATCATAACTTCCAGTTTCTAAAGCCTTTAGAAAAGTGTATATACAATAAATATGACACTAAGGAAGGAAAAAGGTGGCTTGAGGTAGGTAGGTAGATGAGAAAGAGAGGAAGAGATTTAAGTATATATTAATCTGTGCAGGGGATACACTGTAAAAATATAACAGTAATTATTAAAAATAATAGAAATGTTTAATGTATTGTACATGACTGACTTGCTGTTGATCTAAGGGTGGAAGTGTGTTGTACTCTAATATTTTTAAAGCAAGTATGTTGGTTTAAAAATAAAAGGTAGAATTTCTGGGAAAAGATGAAATAGTTCTTGATAATGAAAAAGAATTATTTGAAAATGCCTTAGGTACAGATTTCCCAGAACTTAAGGTACTATGGAGGTTTGTTTGTTTTTTAAAATTTGATTAGAGTCATCTTAAATGAACCCAGTTTTCTTTCCACGGACAATATGGAGTTAGAGATACTAAGGGCAGAAGGCTTGTATGATCAGGGGTTGGCAACCTATGGACTGTAGGCTGGATTGGGACCTCAAAGCTATTTTAGCCAGCCTGGGAAGCCAGGGTGATGGTGGCAATTTGGCAATGAGGGAATCAAAGGTGACAGTGGTGGCTGAGGGATTTGTCATCAAGGGAAGCAGCAGCAGTGGCCCACCTACTTTGGCCCATGAATGGTAAAATGTTGCCTACCCCTGATCTCAACTGTTCCCCCTGCTTGCGTGACACAGATCACAGAATTTCCACACAATTTATAAGATGGAAAACATACCCACAGGCAACATACTTTAAGTCTTATTTTATTCCCACCGTTGCTTCCTTCTAAAGTCAGTCAGCAGGAGCCACAGGTCTGATGTGCATTCCATTAAAACCCAGATCAACTCTTGTAAGTTGCAAAAGTCAGTAGAGAGGCAAATCTGGAAGTGGGTATGCGGGGAGCAGACTGTGTTTGGTTAGGTGGGGTGGGAGGTAAAGCTGGCTCAGAATCAGGGCTTGAAGATGGCTGTGATAATCAAGGAAACACTATGAAATGTATGAACTGTGCGGGTGCTCTGAACCTCTAAATTTAGGATCCCTGTAGAAGTCATCAAGGCCATGAAGATGGAATTCAGGTGATTGTATTAGGTGTCCCTAAGGCTTGGAAATTTTCAGTGGTGTCTCTGTAATGTCATTTGAAAGAGAGATGAAAATGGAAAATCATTATGGACTTGTGTAAAGCGATAATTTTTTAGAGATCATCACTTCTAATCTATTCCAGACTTTAAAAATGCTGATAAAAATGCTGCTCCCAACCTAAGTTGATCTAAAAAGTCAAATCAGTATATTTCCCCCACTAAAAAGTAGAAAGGTGTTTTTTTCTTGTTTTATTTTTTTAATGTTGTGTTTATATTTGTTTATATTACATTTTCTAGAGGAACTTCTATTTCCTTGATACTCACCTATCAAGAGAAACTGAAAAGCCTCAGGTGACCACACATCCCCACCCTTCACCATCTGGAAAGAAACAGATATTATTAAAATGCTGTTATCATTTTGTTAGAAAAATATTTTATGTACACAACAAACACATAAAAAGGATCTAACTAAATGAAATATAGTCAAGCCATGTATTTGCCTTTCTATTGCTTCCTGTCTGCAATGATGACCTGTTCCTCATTTCACTTCCCCTCTCCTTTTAAAACTGCTAAAAATTCTTCTTCTTCTCCATATATAAAACATGATAAAAAGGCGAAGTCCTTTTGTCAATGATGGCACTTTGTGCCATCCATCTCTTTTGAAAGATCTAACAAAATATCTATGAAATTTATATTAGAAAAAACCCCAATGTCTTACAGTTTTCAATACAAATCAGCATTTCTTAATCCTCACTTTACCAGGTTTTCTGCCTAAAGAGGTTTTTTTTAATTGAAGAAATAAAAAAGAGTAAAACCAGAGTAAATAATTCCACAATGTTATTTGTATTATGGGCAGCATGCAGTGACTTAGTTACAGCATTTGAGCCTGCAAAATTCCCGCCTTCGTTGAATGTGTTTTTCTAGGATCAGTCTAGCTTTCATTTTCTTTCTTTTCTTCATATTACAAGGCTTTATTCAGGAGCAATGACCAGAAATGACTAGGTTCTGGCACTTCACTCTGAAGGAAGTTCAGCGCTTTCCTTAGTGAAATAAAGTGCTGTTTCCCTTTGAAATATTTTAGATCCATTGTAGATCCAGGAATCACCTGGGTTAAGGCCCTGATTCAGCAAAGTAAGTGCTGGAAGGGGTTATTTATCTAAGGTGAGGGGTTAGTCTGACTTAAATCTTTGCATACAAACTGCTGTGGAGTAAGTATTCTAAAATAAGTGCCTCCAAATAGCCAGTTATGGCTTAGTTCCCTCCATATCAATGCATCTACATTGCAGTCACTCTTTTCATAATAAGCATGCAGCACTCTGGGTGGATATCCCATACTTCTTTGTCCTGCTGCTGGGTCGTACGCATTCTAAGTTTTCTCATAGTGCGTTGTCGGATATCAGAATTCTCAAATTTGAAGTCAAACTTGGGGAGACTCCTCATGTCATTCTGGAAAACCTAGTTTATCCTCTTCCTTCCCTAACTAAAGCCACTTACTGGTCACTTGGATGGGAGAAAGTACCTGTTCAGCTATACCCTAAATAGCGGCAAAATGAAAGCAATGTGCATATTTGCAATTCCTGAATGGAAGACAGAGAAACTGAATGGCAAAGACAGACAGATGTGCAATGGTTGCCTCATACTGGTGTATTTTCACAGCTGTTAAGGGAGACACTGTCACCAAGGGGTAGGAGTGGAGTTGCAGATGTACACTTCATCCAAGTCTAAATCCAGCCTATTCCTCTATCACTGCCATTGCACATCTTTTTATTTGCCTCTGAAGTGTCCTAGTGAATACTTCTCCAAGCTCTCAAAAAGTTAATTCCTCTATAGTTTGTTTGGTCCCCTAATTTCATGTTGTATGGATCAGGGCTATTATTGCTTTCTTCTATTCACTCTGTACTTGCTCTTTGTTTGTGAATATTAATGAACAGCATCTGCATTGCCTTTGTCACATGTCCCTCTTCTGTTCACAGCAGCTCCGCAGTTGCGTTGTCATTTTCCAGCACCAGTTTTTAAAGCTTCCTTTGAGATGTTTACTTCCTTGTCTAAGAATGGTGTCTTTCTTTTGTACTGAGATCTCACCAGCTACATTTTACACATTGTACTGCTCTTTGAAATAGTCTTTCCATTGTTTTACTTGGCTTGCGTATCCTCAATGATTTCTCATTGTTTGTGGGCAGTCGCTGTGCCCCGCCAGCCTCTGGGGGCACCTGTCATTCATGCCACAGACTGTTTCTTTCAACTCACTGCAATGAAGATAGACATGTTTCAGCTTCTATCTTTGAGTCATCCAGCCCTAGGCCTCTGGCTCATTGGTAAAGCTTCTCGTTTCGTTTTAACTGGAGGAAAATCGGTATTGTGTTAGATGTGATGAAGCACCTCGCACGGCGGCGGCCCTTGGAAAACTGGATGAGCCCCTGCCTCCCCCGAGCCTTACAGAGAAACAACAGCCCCCTCCAGCTGCTGGTTCCTACTAGCGCTCCCGGGCCCCGGGCGTGATGTGGCCGCCTGTGGCTGTACCCGGGGGAACCTGCCCACCCTTTCCCACCGGGGCAGCGCGAGCGGGGCAACCAGAGCCACGCGGCGGGGCTGGTTGGTGATGACGTTACACCCCCCCATCCCGCGCGAGGCCCCCCAGCAACTACAGCTCCCAGGCGCACGCGCGAGGCCGGCGCTCGTTGGCTGGCGGCTCCGTGACGTCACGTGTTTTGGCTCGACCAGGTCACATGTCGCTCGGGGGGCTCCTTTGTTGTGAGTCGCGCAGGAGCGCGGGGACGGGGGCAGGTAAGTGCGCGCTGGGTCACCACCCCGCGGGGCGCTGTGGCCGGAGGTCTCCTCTCCGCGGCTCCGTTCCGCTGGGCTGTGCAGGGCGCGCCGCGACCAGTGCCGGAGGAGCCCGTGGACTCGCCCGGGGCCGGGCTCCGTGTGCCTACAGCGGGGGCAGTAACGGTCCCCGCCGCCCCCAGCTTGGGCTGCACCAAGCCGCTGTGGGGAGACACCGACAGTTCCGGACCCCCCCGCCATTTCTTAACTGGTCCAGTCCTTCCTTGCTGCCCCGGCCTGACAACAATGTTTATGGGCGGGGCTGCCTCCGTGGCGATTGGCTCCGAACGCGCGGGTGGGCGGGACTTGAGCCGCGTAGTCTCCTCGTTGATTGGGCGAGTTATGCCGAGGGAGAGGGGGCGCGGCTGAGGCTGCCCCGGGTGAAGGTGAGCTGGAGGACGCGCGCATGCGCTTGGGGCGGCCGTGTCAGTTAATGCCGAGCTGGGGCCGTGGGCTGGGTGCGCATGCGCATTCCCGCTCGCTCCTGTCCCCTCTGCCAGCTGGCGCGGGGGGAGGGGCGCTGCAGGCCCCCCGGGCGTGGGCGGGATCCGGAGAGCGCCCCGCAGATGCGGGCTGTCTAGGGCCCTTGGCTGTGCCGTGACACTCCGGGAGGTGCGGTGTCCTGTCCTTAGCCAGGCCTGAGGAGCTGACTGCACGAGGGAGGCTTTCTAAAGCAGCTGGAGACCTGGTTGAGGTCCCTCTGTGCCTCGCCTATTTTTGCTTAGCTGGTTTCAGGGAATCCCAGGCGGGCCCCTGTAAAAGTACAGCTCCGCCCTTGCACCCTGCATTGTTTGGGTCAGGTCTCTGGTGGTCCTTCACAGCCTAGAGAGGTCCTTAGCCCCGTTATCCTGAAGTCTGGCAGAAGGTGGGGCGGACTTGCACCTTGTAGACCAGGAGTGGGCAAAATACAGACTGGATCCAGCCCACAGGTACGGTTTGTCCAGTTTACAGCAGGCCCCTTGGTTCCACCTGGCCACGGTGTGTTCTGCTGCCCCCGGGCACACAGTGGGGCTGGGCCGGCTCCACGGCTGGACTGCCTTTCTAGGCAGTCCAGATGGCGATGGCTTCTTCCAGGTGCCACCGCTGCTGTTCCCAGGCCTGTGGTACCAGCGGGGACCTGTGCCACACGGCCCTGACCCAACCCCCGTGTGCCTCCTCTGTCCAGGCTGAGCGCCAGCGGCACCAGGCAGAAACTGTTGCTTGGTATGGGAGAAAAGCAGCTCCTCCCCCTCCACTGGGCAGTTCTCACTGCAGCTGCCCGGAGCCTCCACCACACTGGGCTGCCCTGCGCTGCTCCCTTGCAGCACAGAGAGCAGCTGAAGGTGTGGTAAATGGTGCTGTTGACATGTCTGCAGCACCATATGCTGCACGGCCACTCATCTGGATGCAGCTATTAGGCTTTTAACTGTGTTTTTCCTAGCCTACCTCTAATGCCTGGACTCTACTGTTGCTGTCCAAGAATGGTTCCCTACCTATGGTCTGTAGAAAACATGCTACCTCTGTTGCGGGGTGGGTGCTGACCAGCTCGGGGGTGCGTGCAGGGGGCTCCCATACATACCCTACCACACCTTTCCCCAAATATAAAAACCCCACAAACACTGGGCCCACCCACAAACCTATACCCATCTCCCACAACATACAAGAGTAAGATTTCATTTTGAGCTATTATGCAATCACCTCTATATACACAGTGCAAGTGCGCACAAATCAGGACAATTTAAAAAAAAATAAAACGTGATTGTGGATTTTTAGTATATCGG